TAATTGAAATGACTTTAATGTATTTGAGCTTTTATGTTCCATCTGTTTTACATGGACACAAGTGTTTATGAGTATTTTACTTTAGGTAAATATATATATATAAGGTAAGCTAGCAAATAAAGGTATATGCTCATTCTTAAAACGTAACCGAATTGGAACCTAGGATGCAAAGTTTTGAGGACAAAAACGAAACTATGTAGGCCACCCTATATCAGCATTAGATTTGGAGACAGGCATTGTGTTAAATAAAGGGGATAACTTTAATCTCGGAAAATCTGTAGGATTTATCTAATATATTTTTACGCTCTCATTTTTATGAGTCCCCTATAACTACCTTGTAATATAATTAAATTTATGATACTAATAATATATATATGTTCACTAGAAATATATGATAACCAAGAATACTACTTACTAGAAAGTTATGCCTTACTAGTAACTAGAATTCTCTAGAAGCCTGTTCTCTAGGTTTTAACATATATTTTTATAACTCTTTTATAACCTAACATTTTCAGAGTTAGGTTACAATCTAAATACTGCTCGAATAGAAACTTGGTTCAAATCGAATTGCAAACTAAAGGAAAGCCAATCTTCAGCCAACACATCACAGTATTATCAGAGAATGAAATCCAATTAGCCATATACGCAATAAAAAACTTGAACAATAAACCAAAATTTATGCTAGGATTTCTACTATTTAATTATTTAATTGTAATTTATTTAGTATTTTAGAATAATTTTCCGGTTGATTTGTCAAATAGTCGTTGTAATTGACCATTTAAAACAAAGGATATATCTTAAAATCTAAACTAATCGATTTTTGATTTACTTTAAAAATTAAATAGAAACTTGAATCAACCCAAAGTTAGAACAACTCACTTATGCTTGCTACATATATACAGTGAAGTTAATTTGCCATATATATTTTCTAAATACGTACATTTTAGCGAATACATATACATATCCCAAAATGATAATTTATTGACTATAGCATATATTACAGGGCCTTCTAAAGATGAACACGAGCGCTGCTAGGTAGTTTAATGTGATTTAAAAATTGATATTTAAATTTCTTTGATTCTGTATATAAATATGATAGATATGATCAGTAATTTCTTTTTCATTATGAACTTGCGAGTTTTATATATCTTTCAAATTATTTATTATCAGAGCATATCATTTTTTAGAAACCCAAATTAAAATTTGAACTGAAATGATTACATTATCTTGGAAGTAAATCTGGAACTATATTAAAAGTCTTTTTGTGTAGAATGTAATCAACTATTATGAGTAAATAATTAAAAAATTCGTGTAATTGCTTTTTCTTTTAACCTTAAACCTACGTTTTTGAGAAGTTTCATTATTCACATGCATAATTTATTGGATTAACTATATAAAGATTGAATCATTTTGGACAAATAGTATAACGATTAACTCTACTATTAAATAGATGATATTAAATAAATACATTGTATCTAAGTCGCAAAGTATCATTAACTTCGTCAAAAATGTATAAATTCCGTAAAATAATCTCATATGAAATAAATCATTATTTGACAAAGTAGAAGTAAAACAAGGGCTCTATTCATCCCCACGTTTGGCTAAACAATTATTTCTAAAAGACTTTCCTATTGTTTCTGCGATATCCAAAACCAGAGTTTGTTCAGTATATAGCAACGCTTTAATTCACATGTGAAAACTTTCTTATATATTTATAATGCTTATTGCTAGTTAAAGTAGGTCTCCTTGTATACACATCCCGTTAATTATGCTCATCTGAGTAGAGCTAATAAGGCTTATATGAGGTCAACAGTGTAAACAGTTATGCAACCTTAAGTCTCTTTAGAAATATATAGAAGAAAGGGGTGCAAATAAAATGTCTCAACATCTTACATGATAGATAACTTAAATCTTGGGGTATATTTTCATAGGTAATCTCCTAGTTATAAGGTTGTAGCTTTCCTTTATATTCAGATAAACCTTAGTTCACTAAGCCATTAAGAGATAAAAAGGGAGTTTATAAAAGAAATTAAAGGCTTTAAATACCTTTCTGCATTTTTCAAACTGAACCACTCTATTTGCTGGTAACTATAGGAAAGAGTAAATAACCAAAGCTAGGTTAATAAATATTTGGAAATAAGCTTATAGTAGTGAAAAGGAGGAATTTATTTCAATTGCAGCTTTAAATTCTATAATCTATCAATATTTATAATTATCTTAATATATTTATGTGTTAATAAAAACATACAATCCACCTGTTTATACCGAAGATGGAATTTATCCGAGAATAAGGAAGATGAGTGCGCAAGTAAGCATTAAATAACAAAGAATTGTATTAATAAAGGCTATAGTTACCACGAATATTTAGAGAGTAAAACGGTAAAAGCACAATCATAGGCCGTCAAGCCTGTTTACTCTAGCTAATCAAAATTTAATATCCTTGAATTAATAACGCCAAGCAAAAAAAAGATTTATGAATTTAATAAATATTTATGAATCATTCATAAAAAGATGAATATAACTTTATACCTTATAAAGGATAAAACTTTCCATGTATTATTTGTTAAAAGCCAGGTAAATTTTTATTTTATTGAAATATAAAATTGATTTTAACAAACACTGTGAAAAGCCGGGCTGAATAAATAAACACACAATTCCTGTTCCTTAACTGCAAAACAGTTTAGCTTACTATCAATCATTCTTAGAATACTTTACAAAATACAAGGTTAGATATTGATTGCATAAAAAGAGGTAGCGTATACAAAACTTTCTGCTGTTTATCGATTTCTCTTGAGCAAAAGTTTTCAAGCCCTAGTACTTAACTATTTAAGCTAGTATATATATCAGCGTATTATGTCAACTACCAGGATATCAACCGAAAATAAAGCTAGCTTTCGTTTTCAGGTTTATTATAAAGCTTCTACTCCATATGCCTCCCAGCCTCACATCAAATTTTCTTTTCAGCCAGCTTTAATGAGCAATATTCACGAAGAAATCCCTCACGGATCCAACATGACGAACAGCACCAGCAGAATCAGCTGAAATGTTTATGACAGAAAGGCCCCACCGTAATTGGCAGATGACATACTTGCTTCTTCATGTACCTTTTTGTAAAAAAGTTTCCTAAATGTTGAATTCACCACAAAAGTGGCAGAGAAAGGTCGGTTTGAGTAGCAGTGGGGACCACTCCCAAGCTTACCATCCATATTATCCGTATCATGCTTACCATGCCCATCACCCTTATGGCCATCACCATTATGGAAATTTCAATGGTGATCCTACTTTGTTGCTTGCACTGGGCAGATGGGCACATATTGGCATGAGCCAGGTGCACTGTGACGACGATTTTGCGGACCGACTTAATTACCAATTCTCTGCAATCTTGTTAACACTGCTTATTGTGTTAACTGGGTTTCGACAATATCTTAGTAAGTGGGAATAATTCAATAATTTCTATGCCAAAAAAAGACTTTTAATTTCTAAAAAGCTGCTTTTTCAGGAACAAATTCCTGGTTAAGTGAATTGCTATAGTAAAATAAGAAAGACACAGGATAAGTTCCAGAATAGAATGACATTAGTAGCATAAGAAGTATAACATATTGTCAAAACTTATGTAATTTAAGGTATATTCGTCTCAACTCTATACTGATATGGAAATTTTATTATAATTTATACAAGAATATAATTAATTATATTTAATTAATACTCAGTCATACAGTTAAATTGGGTGCTATACTTTGCAATACATAAATAAAAACAAACTAGCAATCCGTGATGCCTTTTACAAGCTTGCAATACTGCTTTGGCAAAAGAAAGCCATAAAGCTAACTCAGCTAGCGCATTTTCTCCAAAAACGATACAGCCTTAATATTTTCAACGGAGATAAAATATTCTCCAAATTGTTTGTTAGCCAACCATTGAAAACTTCAAACAATGCATTGATCTTGCCCTTTTGATAACTTTGACTCTTCCTATGTTTTTATTTGGCCTGGGGAGTGTGTATGAGCGTTATTTATGGTAGACTCCTTGAAAAATAGTTTTAAGATCAAGATGCCTTTTTTTCATAAGATTTGCTAAGATTCTTCGATAGAAAGTAGTCAATAATTATATTATATTAAAGTTAGCTTCAAAGTTAACTTATTATATCTCTAATTAATTATAAATTATTCTTTTACTAGGATATTTAAACTCAGCTCATGCCATTGTAGATAGTTAGCTCGAAGTTGCCTTTATTTATTGAGGAATATCCTTTACTGATATGTGAATATTTATCCACTTTAGCCGACTTTCCTATGCAATGCTGGATACCACAAGAATTTACAAGAAGTTGGGAGGAATATGCTGAAAATTACTGCTGGATAGAAACAACATACTTCTCGCCCCTCGATAAGCAATTACACATTTCGACACCAGGCGAATCTCGAACGCATATTGTACGTTATTATCAATGGGCCACTATTGTTTTGGGTATACAAGCTGCTGCTTTTTATTTTCCCTGCTTCATATGGAGGCTGTTTCAGGTATGCTATATAAAAAATATTTTAAATATAGTGCGAAATATTTTTACTAGATTATTTTGACCAAATAAAAGCTATTGTTCATTACCAATCTTATGAAAATTTAAGCTATGAATTTTATATTTAATTTAAAGGACTCTGGGTTACTAACGTGACTAAGATTATGTCAATTTTTATAAATATATCATTAAACTATTTTTACAAGAATATGCAAAGTCTACTTAAATTATACGTTAGGGTCCTCCACTAAAAATTGCGTTTATTTCAGAATTTCAAAATACTAAAAAAAGTTTTCCAGATCTGATAATTTTCATTAAAATGTAGGCTAAATAAGTTAAACAGACCAATGTAAGTCAGCAAAAGTTTGTGTTATTTACTGACAATCTAAACGCCTCAACATTTGTTGTGATCAACTCTTTTCTTAATCATCCCTTGCTCTCTGTCTGGAATTGATTCAAAAGGTTTTGAAAAAGTTTAAGATCCATACCATTCTTTTATAGAGCATTCCAGAGTATCTTATGCAATTAAAATATGTTCAACCTTTTTCCTTTCCAAATATTCCCAAAGAAGCTAAATTCTGATAAGGTCTGCTTAAAGTGGAGTAGCACAGCTTAGCTGCATAATAATGTTCATTGTGCTTAAAAAAATAAATCTTTTTGAAGAGGCACTGCAGAATATAGTGGTACTTCTTTTTGTTCAATGTGTAGTTGATATTACTCCGATCAAAACAAAAACACATTTATTAGT